TGATTTGTACTGTGGTATCCAGGAAATGGATCTCTCGTGTAGAATGGTCCAAACTGAGACTGATGGTGGGGCGTCTGTGTCCAATCTTGCTTCTTTCTTATGTTGTTTATATGGTATACGACTGATCATTATCCACACCAAAGCCATTATTTAATACAATTTCCTAGATCAAATGTTCTACCAGATGGCCTATCAGGGCTCACAATCATCTGTGCAGGCTACTCGCTCACTGAGTAAACAGAGTGGCCTGGATACAGAATGTTGTTTGATACTGAATCTGCCACATTCACCTATGAGAGAAGATGATCAGGTTGCTATTTCAAGTTTCAGTCTTCTCAGGCCAGGTACTACAGTGCCTCCATAGTTCTTGGAAGAGGATAGACCCATGTGATTATCTATTCAATATGTGTTATACTTTCTACATAGGCATCCATTCTCTCTTTTATTTGTCCACATCAGCAGGCCAGGTATTTGGGTTCATGGACTGCAAAAGTGCCTATTCTGCTGCATTAACACAGGTCAATGTGTTGGTCATCAATCTGCTTTCTGTGCTGACTTCCCATATTCCTGTATAAAAGGCTGCCATAAAGTCAGGCACATTTCCAACAATAAAAACAATAGATTAATCTTTAAGGGTTAAAGCTTAACTTAAGGATGAAAGCAGATAACCCAGAAAGTATTGCCTTACCAGCATACTCACCAGGGTGACTGGTTAACAAGCATCAGGCTGGTTAAACATATAATTTTGTCAGTTAATATTTTAAACAGCATTTTAAACCCTTAGTTTGTTTCAAATCAGGCAAAATAAAGGTTTGAATCTCTATATTTCAGCATCCCAGGTGAGTGTCCTAATGAATCAAATTATTGGGAATAAAAGCCCACTAACTTGTCTGACTAAATCTTCCAGAAAGTCATCCAGTCTGATCTGAGGACTTCAAGAGATGAAGAATAGACCATTTCTTTTTGTAGCTTGTGCCATGATTAATCACTCTCACTGTTGAAAATGTGTGCCTTTAAGAAACTAGATCAAATACATTTGTTATTTGATATATTAAACTCTGAAAAGGAACTAAGAAACACACAGGATACTCTGATCCAAATAAATTATATCATACATGAGAAAATGCTAACCAATATTAAAATAGCACAGACCATGTATTTCTGATCTCAGTCAATTTGCAATGTGGTAAATAATGGATATTTGTATTGTGTACTGTGCATTCAAAGGAAGTACCCTATGTAAGCACTGCATGCAAAATTCTAATTTTCAGATGCCAGTCTCTCTCTCTCAGTTTAAAGAGAGGCATGTGAAAAATACAGCTTCCTTGTTAGACTGTCAAGGGCAATCAGCGTGAAATCTAATCAACACCAGCTGTTATTTCTGTGTACTGGGACAGACAAAAGAATAACAAGTTATCAAAACAAGGATAACAAACCCCACAAAGAAGTTGCTAGTCCCAACATGAATTATTCTGCTTTCCTTTTTTGCATCTCTTTTTATTTTCATCCCATGCATTTTATCCTTTGTTATAAGATAAAGCTAGTTCTTGAAGCATAGTTCTAACTGAAGTCTTTGTATGTCACATCCTTAAATTGTAATGCTCCTAATAAGCTTTACAAATGCTGCAAATCGCAAACAGCAAACTTATTCCCGAGTTATCACCTCAACTTAGTAAATTAAGGTCACGTTTTTAACAGAAAGAAATATCACACTATTTTTGGCTATGTCTACACTACAGGCTTCCTGCGCAAGAAGCTTTTCGCGGAAGAGATCTTCTGCAAAAAACTTCTTGTGCAAGAGCATGTCCACATTGCAAAAGCGCATCGAAAAAGTGATGCGCTTTTGCACAAGAGAGCACCCAAACTGCATGGACGCTCTCTCGAAAGGAAACTGATTGCTATTTACAGAATGGCCACCAGGGCACCTGTGCTTTTTTCAATTGCCTTTTTTTTGCACCAAAAAACACTGTTTCCCCTCCCCCCACACCTTTTTGTGCAAGAGCTCTTGTGCAAAAAGGAGTTATTCCTCATAGGAGGAATACCTATACTGGAAAAACCTCTCTGTTCTTTTGTTTTACTTGCGCAAAAACACACTTGAGGTGTGAACACGCCACGGGTTTTTGTGCAAAAACTCTGTAGTGTAAACCTAGCCTTAATGATGTCAGCTTAACAATATCCAAAAGCTGCAAGCTACTGGTAAGCTCTGTCTATATGGAGGATTTCCTGAATCAGATCTTCAACTGAAACATTCACAACCATAATTCAAAGAGAATGCATATTTTGAATGACATTACAGGAAAACACACCATTAACAATTCAAATTATAATAACTGTGTATTGTAACAGTCATGTTAACTATCATCAAAGTTTAAAAAGAATATTTGATTTTTTAAATTTGACAGCACTTTGTAGACCCATTTCTTCTGGCTGCCTCATTTCAAAAAGATATTGGCATCGGAAAAGGTACAAAGAATGACAACAAAAATGATTATGAATACAGAGGCTGTTCCATACGAGATGGAAAGACTGGGACTTTTCAGCTTGAAAAAAGATAATGAAGGGAGAGGGGAATGACAGAGGTTGGTAAAATCATGAATGGTTTAGAGAAAGTTTTTTTTACCCGTTTAGAAGAACCAGGGATCATCAATGAAATTAATAGGCAGCAGGTTTAAAACAAACAAAAGGAAGTTCTTCACACAGTGTAGTCAACTGGCACAACTCATTGTCAGGGGATGCTGTGAAGACCAAAACTCTAACAGTTAGAAAAGATTCTAAGTTCATCAATGCAATTAGCCAAACTGACTAGGGATGCCACTCCGAGCTCTGGGCATGCTAAATCTTCCTTAGAAGCTGGGAGTGGATGACAAGGAACAGAGCACTTGATAATTATTTTGTTCCTCCTCTGAAGCATCTGGCCTTGACCACTGTCAGGAGACAGGATACCAGGTTGGATGCAGGGCTGAACTAACTCTTGAGGACTGGGAGCTATTAGATTTTTGTGGGGGCTCTTAAGCTCTGGGATGGGGCCAAAACTGAGGGCTTGAGAGTAGGCTGAGGCAGGTGGTGAGGGCTCCAACTGGGCGTGTGGGCTTTCTGTGGGGGCTGAGGAAGAGACACTTGTGGTACAGAAAGGGGCTCCAGGCAGAGCCCAAGGGATTTGGAGTAGGGGAAGAGGCTCAAGACAGAGGGTGGGGGTGCAGGATCTAGGTGTGAGTTAGGGAACTGGAGTGGGCTCAGGGATGGTGCAGGAGGTTGGGCGTGAAGCATTTATCTGGTGCAGCACCTATATGGTGTGGCAGGACAGATGGCTCAGTGCAGTCCTTCCACCCCTTCTGTGCACCTGCCTGCAATTTCCAGCTATTGGGAGTGGAGAGCAGAGCCTGCAGCCAAGAACAGCATGGGGACAGACCTTCCCCCAGCACTCGTGATGAAGCGGCTCCAGTGCAGTGGACAGAAAGCAGCACTGAATAAAGCAGGGGCTTCAGTGGTTGCAGCCCAAGGCCTCAAGCTAAGGAGACCTTGCAAAAAGATCTGGACTTTTGGCATCTCAGAGATCTTTTGCATGGTCACCCCCATTAGCCTGGGGCTTTGGGCTGCAGCCCCTAAATCCCCTTTCTTAATGTGGCTCTGGCTGAATGGACTACAGGCCTGATACAGTATTGCTGTTCTTATGCATGGGCTCAGCAAATTGCTAACAGTCCAGAAAAAAAACCAAACTTATTTTTAAAGAAAATGAGATTGCAAAAATCCTAATTGGCATGGGAGCTCTGGGGCAAGTATAGTGCCTAAGACCACTGTAGCTTTTTAAAATTAACTAAATTGCAAGTTGCCTCCCCAAACTTTTTCACACAAAAATCTTAGCCAAATTAGACAAGTGAATACTACTTTCTTCTATATAAAAAGGAGTAAAAATCTATAAAAAAAACTTACATCAAAATTAAAAATACTATTTACATGCTGAAAACAGTTTGATTTTTTCTTGTTTCTTTTTAAATGTGGGGTTTCTCTCCAAGAACACAAGCAGTTTAGAAATACAACAAAGTTAAAGGCTACCTAACCAGAGCTAATCATTTGAATACAGAAGTACTTAAAAATATGTTCAAGTAGGGGGAAAAAAAACAAAACAAAACGGGTTTTTACAAAAAAGATTCTCAAAGAACACTTATTGGTGCGAAAGTTTAAAACAAAATTTCTTAAACATGTTTGAAATGAGAATCACCTGCACAATTCCAGACACGTACACAATTGCTGTTTAATATATCCCCATCTAAACAAGTTCTGTAAATAAATACATCTTACAAAACACCCATAAAAGAACAACAAAAATATTCTTAAACTGATTCTTAGTGGACCTAACAAAGTTTATACTAAATCACAGCTTAATAATTACCTATACAATTGCTTAAAAACCCTGTCTTAGTATTAATATTAATTTTCTAGTAAAATTCAGGATTTTGTAATATAATATTTGGATTCTTAAATAGGTAAACCAATGGCTAAAATTAACAATATTTACTAGAAACGTGTGTGGATTAGCTTCTATTTCTTTTGTATGGAGCTCTTTAAAAAGTTTTTTTTTTGGAGGAGAAAGATGACTGATAAGTAACACGTGATACGGAATTAGTTTTACTCTTTGCACAGCTGTAATAACCAGGGCTCGACAAATAATGTAATCTACTCGCATTAGAAGAGCCGGGTTCGGGTGATCTGCGCATGCACAGATGGCCGGCAGCGCGGCTGGCGAGCAGGGCTCACCGCGGTTTGGCGAGCCCTGATAACTAAATTCAACAACTCTAAATATTTCATTTTATTCACTTGGGACACATCTACACAGCAGCGTTATTTATAGTGTGTGTCTACACTACAAGCCTTTACTTTGAAATAATGTCAAACTGGAAGACTTCTTACTCCGATTCATGGTAACTCTCATTTCACAAGGAGTAAGGGAAAATCGAAGGAAGAGTCTCCTTCCTTTGGCTTCCTGCTGTGTAGACAGAGCTTAATTCAGCTTTTGTAATTTCAACTTCAGCTATGCAATTGACATAGCTGAAGTTGCGTAGCTTAATTCTACATAGCAGCGCTGCTGTGTAGATGTGCCCTTAGAGAGGAATGAAAATCACTTATGGCTTTCAAATTCAACACAAATAAATAATCAGGGATCAACAATTAGGGCAATCTACTTGCCCGTGGTGAGTAGATTTTAGCCCTGCACGGCACCGTGGCGCAATCAGCGCATGCGCAGCGCGGTCTGCGCATGCTCAGCGCGCCAAACTGCGCGGCTGGCAAGCGGGGCTCAGCGTCACTTGTCAAGCCCTGTAAATAATAATTAATATAATTATTAAACTGGTTCATTCAGGGGAGACCACATTATTCCAATATCACTCAGAAAGCTATGGTCCACTACTATTGACCACCAATTTTTTAAATATCACCTTTTGTGACGTTCCCGAGCATTTGATAATGAAGATCATGTAAACAATGAAAAAGCCTTGGGTTACTTTTTTCCACTTCAGTTCTTCCTTTAAATGGCAATTTCTCCTTTCTATTCATCCTGGGGCCATTTTCCACATCAATTCTTTTCAACTACCCATTGTGTTGGTTACGGCCCTATAGTACTTCTTTTAGTAAGAACAGTTAGATTGGATTGTTTAACCAGACTTGTGAATTATGAACATACACAAAAAGGATCCATGATTTGAAGTCAGCCATTAGTGCAGCTACTACATGGCAATATTTTGTCTGTAACTGTTAGTGCAACAGAATCTAATGACTCCAAGCCTCTTATATCCCTGAGCAATTTGTTACTATGTCGTCTTACTGAGTTGGCTCAGAGTCAGTACTTTTTTTTTTATTATAAAACTTCCACAGAAAGTAATTGCTTCTTTTTTCTTCAATGACTGTCATCTAAGAGTGACTACATTGAAGTTATGAAGTCTTTCACACAGCAAAATGTTTAGTTTATAATGGAAGACTTTGATACGCTTAGGGGTTATATAATGATTACTGATAATTACACTTATACAAAAATTATGAATAAGTTAAATTTCTAAAACAGAATGGGGAGACAGATTCCTCCTGATTTACTCACAAATTTGTAGACATCTATGCAGCTCAGAACCCCAAAAGTGCAATCACAAAACAAGTATGATACAGCAGCAACAATTTTAGTCTTCCATCTTAATATTTAACTTGTCTTCTTTACATATGTAAAATACATATCTCTCTACTACTTCATTATGAGATTCTTCTTGTCCCCATTACACAGATGCTCCTGGAAACTGATGCTGCCTTTGTTCCAAAGCCTGTTGACTTAGCAGTTGCTGCTGTTTCTGCAGAAACTGTACCACCTCTGGACTTCTTAATAAGGACTTAAAGAAAGAAGAGAGAATATTTGAATTGGTACCAAAATATTTAGAATAGAAAAGAATCCCCTATTCGTGAACTATACATTATACCTGTTTACATACACCACTTTATAAATTGAAATTAAAAGTAACAGACTACAAAAACATGCCCACAAATCAAAGTGGGAATAGTTTCATCTCATTACATGACCCTACAAAAGGAATGAAGTTAACATTAACACCTCCAGTGAACTTAATCAAGACAAATGTGTGCACAATATGCCACTTTGTCTATATGACAGTAACTTACTTTTGTTACTTAAACAAAAATATGCAGTATTACAATTTAAACATTGGCTTTAAAAATGTTTAACAGCATTTTAATTTTCAACTACACATCCTGTATTCCATACAGCAAAGTACCTCATAGCCCTGCTCCTTTGGAGAAACAGCCTGTCACTAACGTGTGATTTCTATAAATATAAAATATTTATAGTTTATTATACTAACTGGTCACCGTACAGAAACAAACAACTTTATGAAAGAATGAAAGGAAGCACTTTGTTGTGACGAGTGAAGAGAATGGAAGTCAAAAGCTTTGGGTTTTATTTCTGGCATTACTACAATGCTATGAACTAAACTTTTGCGCCACAATTTCCCCCTTCCCACCATGTGCAGTATAGCAATAATTATCTAACTCTCAGAAAGAGTACTTAAATTGAGATACTTGAAAAAAGGTGCTATAAAAGTCCTACATATTATCTATCCTATTGTGGAATATTTTCATTCTTGAATTTTTCATAAAACCCTGCTCTTTTCTAAAGTTGTATACAGGTAACATTACATTTACAAATATCCCTATGGTTTATAAGATAATGTCCTCCTGTTTCCCATATTCATTGCCCCAGGTGGGATATATTAAAAGCAAAGGGATCTTTCTCAATGAGAGAAAGAAAAGAGTAAAGCACTGAAGACTGGAGAACCTGTGCCTCACTTTTCCTGTTTGTGGGCAGAAAACAGAGCTAGCCCAAGGCAGCGGGAGCCATAGAGCCCACATGCCAGCTTCTCCCTGGAGCCTGGGTGGCAGAGGCTATATTGCCAGGCTTCGGCGCCTGCTGCTCCCCTATGGTCATTTGTTCCTATAACTAACCCAGCTATCATACCCCTCCCTTTCCATTTGATGTGAAACAACTGCATTCAATGCACACTGCATTGTCCTGGCACAACCAAACTCTGACCTTGCTTTAAGCTATGATAAGTGGACACTGCTTTAAGCGACGATAAGTGGATCACCAAAGTTAGTGGTCCTAGCTCTGACTATGTAGGAGAAGTCCTTGAACAAATGGACAGGCAAATGCACAAAGTTTCTAAAATATATAGTAACATTATATACACCAGTGGTTTTCAACATGCAATCTCAGTCAACACAGAGTTGTAGCTCATATGACACCCTCAGGGTCATACAGGCAGTATTGGATGCAGCCCACAATGAGGTTGAGAAGCCAGGGTTCTTACCAGTCTTTTCTGATTCAATACTTGTTCTAAAAGAGTTGGTCTTGCTGGGCGATCTCCAATAGATCCTGTTCTTTGTTTTGTAACTGAAACTGAACCTTCAACACAATCCTGGACATAAGAAACAAAATACAAGAGGAAGATGGATATTATATGTTGACATTACAATGCATTTTTCGTTTCTACAGGGGAAAGGCCTCAGAAAAAAAGGGCCTGCTTCCCCTTTCTAACCTGTGGAAGGAAATGAGGCATACAAGAGAGGAAAAGAATCCACCCAATGTTTTGTTTTCTCCCTTTCACTCCATAATTCTTCCAGTTTCCACTAGCTGCAGAGACCAGAAACTGGTGAATTAGATTTCTAAATTAGACTCCTAACCAAGTTACCACAGCTAATAAATCTTTAATCTATTTGATTAAAAATAATTTGAAACAGCCCAATAATTCACCCACACTTTTTAAAATTTCCCTGAAAGTAATGTGTGTAGAGAGGAGGAGTGGCCAAACTGTAGGGCTACGTCTATACTGGTGCGTTCTCACGCAAAAACTCTTTTGCGGAAGAGTTCTTCTGCAAAAACTCTTCCAGAAGAGAGCATCTACACTGGCATGTGCTTTTGCGCAAGAGCATCCATGCCAGTGTAGATGCTCTCTTGCGCAGGAAAGCTCTGCTGGCCATTTTAACCATAAGGCTTTCTTGAGCAAAAAAATTCACGTTACCTGTCTACACTGGCCTCTTCTGCAAGAACAGTTGCGCAAAAGGGCTTATTCCTGAGTGGAAGTGTCAGAGTTCTGGTGCAAGAAGCTCTGATTTTATACATTAGAACGTCAGTTTACTTGCACAAGAACACGCGGCCAGTGTAGACAGGCAGCAAATTTTTGCGCAAGAGCGGCCGCTTTTACACTAAATCACGCCAGTGTGTACACAGCCTAGCTCTTTTACAATTTAAGTGAGGGTCAAGGACAGAATGCCACATTAGCTACTCACTCCCTAGAGGGTTGAAGACCCAAACCCTGGCAGGTGCCTCACAGCTTGAGCTTTTGAAGATTGTCCTATTTAACAGAGTCAGTAAGTTTGTCCACTCATGCTCTAGTATAAGAGGCTGGAGGCCAAGTCAGGCTTTACTCCCAGCCGAAGAAATTCTAGCCACATTTTAGCATAGATAAAGTGCTAACTTCACAATACCCTGTAGATTCCTCACACTGTTTTCTCTCTGGTTTGAAGTGGCTTTAAGTTTGCTAACTATTCTTCCAACTGAAAGAGGTTAGACAAAATACCATCCTAGCACCTGCTATGCCAACATTGTTGAAGAAAAACAAAACAAATGAAAAATACTTACTAGAACATCTAGTTCTCTTCCCCAGGAGATGAACAAGATTGTCTACAGTACCTGAGAGCATATAATCTAATTTTAAATGTCAAAAGCCCTAATCTTTACAAGATGCATATGCATATATTACATCTCTTGAATCTCACTAACATTCAAAGCCTAATGTAGATATTATGTAATTGGGGAAAAAAAATCTAGTCCCTTCCAAAACAATCCAGTCCCTTCCATCCCTTCACTGTACAAAGTGCCTCCATCATTTCTTTTATTTAATGGAAATATCTTTTCTTCCTTCCCAGTTCTATTACAAAATACAATGCATACACAAAAAATATGCTTTAAAACTCTTCATAAAAATTATGGCACTTCTAAGACTACACTGTATAGAATAGTAATACAGATGTAGTTGTGTTAGCCTGGTCTAGCTGAAACAAAAGTCAGGACTATGCAGCACTTTAAAGACTAACAAGATGGTTTATTAGGCGATGAGTGTTCATGGGCCAGACCCACTTCCTCAGATCAAATTGTGGAAGAAAATTGGCATGACCATATACAGGCAGTCCCCGACTTACGCGGATCCGACTTACGAACGGGGCTTTTCTCGCCCCGGAGCTCGCGGGCGGCGGGACCGCCCAGAGCACAGCGATCCCGCCACCGCGTCCTCCGGGGCGAGAAAAGCTGCTCCGGGTCTCCCTGGTGTGCTGGGGGGGCCTCCCCAGCACAGCAGGGAGACCCGAGCAAAGCCGCACAGGCAGCGGGACCCCGCTGCCCGTGCGGCTTTGCTCCTTTGCCCCGGAGCAAAGCCACAGTGGCGGTGGGACCTCTGCGCCTCCACAGCTTTGCTCGGGTCTCCCTGGTCTGCTGGGGGGGAGGGGGCGCAGCTAGTGCGCTCCCCCCCTCCCCCCAGCAGACCAGGCTTTTGTTGCGGGACGCCTGGGGTAGAGCAGCTGGGGTGCTGCCGGGTTGGTCCTGCGGGGACCTACCCAGCAGCGCCCCAGCTGTTCAGTCCCAGGAGTCCAGATTCAGCCGCCGTTGAAACTGATCCGCGGCGGCTTCACGAGA